TGACGACCAGACCAGACCCATTGTTACACAGCAAAGAGAAAGCAAAGGAAGGGGCCAAAAAGAGGCTTGGTTATGGTCTGCATCTTGTTTTATAGTGCCTGGAGTTGGACCTCTCTAGTGACTGATGTCACCATGGAACCACTGTGATTGGACAGTTGGGAGTTGCGTGACCTGAGTCTTAACTATGCACGCGGGTTGTTCCAGGTCCATTTTCAGACTCTATGGTACCTATGCTGCTTGGCCCCTGGGCTCGAGAGTCCTCTGCGTTCTTTTGCAGCTGGCGCTCTACGTTGATTGGCAGCTTCTCGTAGGGTATTCCCTCCTCTCCCAGGCGTGGCAGTCTCTCGGGAGAGGATTAGGCTGGGGCAGGAACAATGGCACCAAAGCAGCAGCACCCACTTTTGTCCATAGGAGACCTGGAACCCCTCGCTGTCTACCTAACAAAAACCACTCACTATCCTGAGATTCCAGAAGCCTGTGCGGCCAGTGGGGAGAGATGCATGTAGCCCGAGAACTGTAGTGTAGTCTTCTTCCTTAGGGGGCTTTTACATTTAGAAACTCAGCTTCATTCTTATTAAGGCATTCTTGAGACTTTCTATAAGCAAGAAGCAGGTTTTGAATAAAGGAAATTTTTATAAAGAAAATAAGGAATAAATAAAGCATAAAATAAAATAAAGCAATAAATAAGGAATAAATAAAGTAATAAGATAATGCTGGCCCAGTGCTCTGGTATCGAAATCCTTAAAAAATAATAGCACTCTAGAAATAGAGAGTATATTATTCTATTTACTTTGTTCCAGGATCATATGTATGATATTACATTAGCTTTGATCGTATTAGGCCATTTTTCTTTGGGTATAGCGAGTTCTCTCCCAGTACAGCTGAGAATGAGCTTCAATAACCTAAAATCATAATATAATTTTTCTGAGAACTCTGTCACATTACTGTCTATAGAATCTGCTCTTGGATGTTTTACCTTCCTCCAGGGTTAGCAAGAGACTTTCATTCCTTCTTTGTGCTTCGGCAACCTTCAGGACTCACGGGGAAGTGGAGTTTGCTCCAGGCTTTAGTTCTGTATTAGCACTCAGTCAATCTGTTTAACCTTCTGCTCCTGTGCCTCCTTTGAAGTCGGGAGAAATCCCACCTGGCAGGAAGTGCCGGGGCCAGGGCAGTGCCCTCCACAGGCAGGAGTGCAAAGGGAGTGGTGCCCATCAAGCCCCCTGTGAAGCCCAGGTTTGGGGCTCACTCCATCTCTCCCGGCCTTTCTCACAGTTCCGGATTCACGTGGGAGGAGAGGGCCAGTGGGGAAGCTAGTTGCTCCTAGGAGATGGCGCTCACATCTGCTGGCCAGGCCCCTGGGGGATCAGTCAAGCTCATGCCTGCTCTTGGGGGCTGAGAAAGGTGCCTTTCAAGTGCAGACCCTGCAAAGCCCTGTGTCTTAAGGACAGAGTCCCTTCTCCCCGGCCTCCCACACCAACGCCAGCCCTGCCCGGCCCTTGCAGAAAGGCCTCCAAGCCTAAGAAGAACTGCTCCTGGGCATACGAGCTCTTTGACTTCAGGGAAGTTCCTTAACCTTTCTGAGCTTGGCTTGCCTCATCTGTAAAATGGAATAATAATGGTGACAACCTCATCAGATTGTTGTGAGGACAAAGTGAGGCAATCCACATACATCTCTTAGCACAGTGCCTAGCATTTAGCGAATGTTTGATAAGTAGTGCTACTGTTAATAATAAGCAGACAATTTTTATTAGAGTAAGAAATGTGTATTGATGACAGCTGGAGTTGGGGGATCACAGTGAGAAAGAAAACAAACAGAACACTTGCAAGGGGAGAATCACTGATGAGGTACGCGGCCTCAGCGATTGAGCTTTTCCTCCTGTTTGTTTCACCACACTGCCCGCCAGATGTCAATGCTTAGGGTCCACAGTGTGTCTGTGTCTATAAATCTCATTGACCTCTTCCCAAATTGTCAAAGTAGGTCCCCCTTCTTCTGACAACAGTTTCCTGATTTCCCTGGGATTCTACTCCTCTTGCATTCCCTGTGGGGCTGGCTCCAAGCCCTGCAGCCAGGGGACGCAGCACCTGGGCCTGGCCACTAAAAGCCAGTTGTGAGACTTTTGCTGGAGCACCTAGGGAAAGAATGTGTCCATCCATTGGATGTGCAGGATGCAGAGCATAGGATGCAATCCTGAAGCAGCTGGCAGCTGTCAAACCCAGAAGTGGAGAGTGAGTGTCCGTCCGGGGCCCCTGCTCTGTGCGGGCGCAGGCATTCAGCAGCGAACAAGCCCCTGCCTTTGTGAAGCTCTGGGTAAGAAAATAGTAAGATACATAGATAGGCAGATGGATGGATGGATGGGTGGGTATATATATAGATAGACCATTCTGGTAGTGATAAGTTCTATTAAGGAAAAGGGAACAGAATGAGAAATGCATGAGGGTGGAACTGTCACAGAAGTGTTACAGCGAGTGGTCCCGAGGACAAACCGAGCGGCACACGGAGAGTCAGAGAATCAAAGTTTATTCTATTCGCTGGCACCAGCCGGGCTCACAGGGGCCTCACCACCAAATTCTGAGCACCATCTACCTGATTTTTCCCATTTTTATTAAGTTGGGATGGTCCAAGGGGTGGGGCAGTGGTAGGTTAGTTGCTGTGTCAGGTGATAGGTTAACATTATGTTGATTTGCCAGGCAATAGATTTAGTGTTATGCTGATGCCAAGTAATAGATTAGTTGAGGGGCCAGGAAACAGGTTAGTATTATGCTGATATGGGTTTTCCAGTGGGTAGTGGGGGTCTCCGGGTGGCTGATGCGCCAATAGATGGGGTCTCCCTTATCAGAACTATTTTAGATAGTGCGGCTAACGAACATGTTGATTTAAAGAAAGAAACGGAGGCAAAATGAATATAAGTAGAGAGCTTATTTGGGCCAAATTTGAGGACTGCATCACAGAAGACATGGATTCAAGTGGAGCTGAATAGGTGCTCTGATTAGCGTGATGAGGGGTCTTTTAAAGGGAAAAAGAAAGGACAGTTCTTACACTGGTCCATTGAAATCACATCAGCTGTCAATTGGCTGTACATTGTTCCTTGTGTTACAAATTCCAAGAACATGAATATAGTGGCTGGGGGTCACATTGTGCAACTCTGTGATAACATTTTAGGAAAATTACCACCTGGTCTAGAAACTACAGGGAAGGAAAGAAAGAACAAAGTGCCTTAAAATGAGCCCCCTCAGGCATGGGTGTGGGGGGCAGATGGTGTGGGGAGAGAGCTTGACATCTCCTATTCACCGCTCTCTGGACGTGGTAAGTGTTGCATATCTTACATAGGATTGCTCTGAGCTACTTTTCTTTCTCAAGCCAATGAACTTCTTTTTTGTTAAAGCCAGTTCGATTGGATTTCTGTCACTTGCAACCAAGGGATTCCTGATTGATACTCTGGATAATGAGGATTTTTAAACTGTGTTTTAATCAGGAATCAGCAAACTATGAAGGACTGAGAAAGTCTCTGAAGTATGTGCTATGAGTGCACGGTGTATCTATCAACACGTATGTGTGTAAGGATGCACGTGTCAGGTTCTAGTCTGAAACGTCGGTTCTTGACGTGCTCGTGGCTAGAGAATGACCGGACGCAGCAAAGTAAGGCGATCATGAAAATGAGGTTTATTGAGGAGAGGAAGATAGAATTATAGGGCGAGAGCCAGATATAGGTTTACAGAGCATGATACATCCGCCACAGATGGCAACCGGACCTAACGTCACAGCCACGGGAGAGCTGTGACACCACCACCACCACGCCCGGCTAATCTTTATAATGTGGTAGAGATGGGTCTCCCTCTTGCTCAAGTCGGCCATTTTATTTATTTATTTATTTATTTATTTATTTATTTATTATTATTTTTTTTGAGACAGAGTCTCACTTTGTTGCCAGGCTAGAGTGCGTGCCGTGGCATCAGCATAGCTCACAGCAACCTCAAACTCCTGGGCTCAAGTGATCCTCCTGCCTCAGCCTCCCGAGTAGCTGGGACTACAGGCATGCGCCACCATGCCCGGCTAATTTTTTCTATGTATATTAGTTGGCCAATTAATTTTTTCTTTTTTTTTTTTTTTGAGACAGAGTCTCGCTTTGTTGTCCAGGCTAGAGTGAGTGCCGGGCGTCAGCCTAGCTACAGCAACCTCAAACTCCTGGGCTCGAGAGTATCCTTCTGCCTCAGCCTCCCAAGTAGCTGGACTACAGGCATGTGCCACCATGCCCGGCTAATTTTTTATATATATATATCAGTTGGCCAATTGATTTCTTTCTATTTTAGTAGAGACAGGGTCTCGCTCTTGCTCAGGCTGGTTTTGAACTCCTGACCTTGAGCAATCCGCCCGCCTCGGCCTCCCAAGAGCTAGGATTACAGGCGTGAGCCACAGCGCCCGGCCTTTCTTTTTTATTTATAGTAGAGACGAGGTCTTGCTCTTTTCAGGCTGGTTTCGAACTCCTGACCTTGAGCAATCCCGCCTCAGCCTCCCAGAGTGCTAGGATTACAGGCGTGAGCCACCACGCCCGGCACATTTTATTTTATTTATTTATTTTATTTTATTTTATTTTATTTTATTTTATTTTATTTTTTTTTGGAGACAGAGTCTCACTTTGTTGCCTAGGCTAGAGTGAGTGCCGTGGCGTCAACCTAGCTCACAGCAACCTCAGACTCCTGGGCTCAAGCGATCCTTCTGTCTCAGCCTCCCAAGTAGCTGGACTACAGGCATGCGCCACCATGCCGGCTAATTTTTCTATATATATTAGTTGGCCAATTAGTTTCTTCTATTTATAGTAGAGACGGGGTCTCGCTCTTGCTCAGGCTGGTTTTGAACTCCCGACCTCGAGCAATCCGCCCGCCTCGGCCTCCCAGAGAGCTAGGATTACAGGCGTGAGCCACCGCGCCCGGCCCTTATTTTTTTAAAAATCTATAAATGCATATATGTTTATACCTGTTTCACAAAAATAAACAAAAACTCATGAAAAGAGATACAAAAATTATTAACTGTAATGACATCAAGGAGGTGCAATACCACTATTAGAGGATGGGAGGCAAAGACTATGCATTTTACTTTAGGCATTTCAGCAGTAATTGACCCTTTAGGAGGAGCATGCATGCCTTCTGTAGAAAAATAAAATATACAAACATACATATATAAAAATAATTCCCAAGTCACTGTTGTGCGATATGCTTTTGCTAGTGTGCTATTGAGAATGCGTGCATCTGTCGCGGCACTGGTCTGGCGTGGGTGTGCGTGCCGCAGGTGTTTGCCAGATGCTGGTACCAGGGCTGCACTGATGTCAAGAGATGGACTGGGAAGCGCTTTCCTTCTTTTTCTCTGTGGCAGTTGCGAAGCAGGACCATCCGGAGTCACGACTCGAGCTGGCCTCAGTGAGTGCGTGCGGAAACAGCCCGTGAAAGGAGCCATTAGAAGTCCTGCCTGGGGGTGGGCTTTTGGAGCGGCAGATGGGCCGTGTTCTGTTTCCAGATGTTTGCTGAGCGGAACAGATTGTGCCTGTCCCCTCCCATCTGGCTTGGTGGTGAACTCCGCTGACCTCCTCTCGGCTGGCTTGTCATAATGGGCAGAATCCTCCAGCGTGTGTCCCTACCGTCTCCCCTGAGCTGTCCCCCTCAGCCATGCCTCGCCAGGGTCGGTAGAGGAGAATGCGGGCAGGCGCAGGTGGAGACAGGGACGGGGACGCGGTCCCCTGGCCTGGAGTTGCTTCGTGTGCCGGGACGAGGGCCTAGAGGCAGCAGCGTCTGGGTGCAGGAAGGGCCAGGTTGCACCATGGAAGCGCAGAGTTTCATGGTTGGCTTTACGTGCACCGCCAGCCTTTAAAAAAAAAAAAGTCGGTTATAAGAGGGAAGGAGATTAGACTCTGAATCTAGTTTTCTTTATCTTTGCCGAAGAGAAGGTTTCATTTGAAAGGTTTTATCACCAGCAGGGTGACAGGCGACCACAGTCACTAGCTCCATTTAGAATGGCCTGAAGGTAATAAAAACCTCTTCCTATTTTATAGCCCACCTGTGCCTGCCGGACAGACGGGCAGGAGGGCGTGAGCCGTGGGGTGCCGAAAGTCAAAACCCCAAATGACTCGTCACAGCCACTCTCTTTGCAGCTAGAGCTTGACAATTATATATATCCACATTAAACTATATAATATGAAAAATGTATCTAAGAAAAAAAAAGAGAGGAAGTGTCATTTCGTTTAATAAACACTGTTCATTTTAATACATGGACATTTGAACCAAATTACATAAAAGTGTTTTCCTCCTAAATTTCACCTCAGGGTTTATGAATTAAATGCCATCCTGACTTGGTTTTAAATGACCGGATGAAGATTTATCACCAGATTATAATGTGGCTGGAATTACACTGACATAGAAATAATTGCTTTTCTACAGGTGGTCCTGCAGTTTCGCGATTAGACCGACAAATTCAATGTCACCAAGCTGTCCATAGACACCTTCCCTGGATCGCCATGAAGAATGAGACCTGCTTCTCTGAGATTCCGCCTTTTTGAAGCTTAGAGACTCCAACAGTGAGTAGCCAGGGGCCTCTGCCGAGACCCTTGCGTTGCCTTTCCAACGTTACAGCGTCCATTCCGCACGGAACCACCCTCAGATGTCAATGAGACTATGGGGTAAAGTGAATGTTCTTAATTTTTTCATACTGTCAAATGAAGAGATAGAGTTGCAAACTTTTGTGAACTTTGAAAATCCCTCCCTCCTTGGCTCTACACCATGTAGGTGAGCAAAGCAGCCTCTAGGCAAACAGGGCCCTGGGAAGGTTCTATTTTGGTGGAAGGGTCACCAGCACACAACCACGAGCTGGCACGTGCAACGTGGACAGCAACCGGCCCACAGAGACTGACGGACAAGGGCACGCTCTGTTCAGAGGCCATGAAGGATCGCGTGGATTTGTGTTTCCAAGAATACATAATTGTGTATTCTGTTGGCCGGGCGCGGTGGCTCACGCCTGTAATCCTAGCACTCTGGGAGGCCGAGGCAGTAGGATCGCTCAAGGTCAGGAGTTCAAAACCAGCCTGAGCAAGAGCGAGACCCCGTCTCTACTAAAAATAGAAAGAAATTAATTGTCCAACTAAAAATATATGGAAAAAATTAGCCGGGCATGGTGGCGCATGCCTGTAGTCCCAGCTACTCGGGAGGCTGAGGCAGCAGGATCGCTTGAGCCCAGGAGTTTGAGGTTGCTGTGAGCTAGGCTGACACCACGGCACTCTAGCCCAGACAACAGAGTGAGACTCTGTCTCAAAAAAACCAGAAATATCCATAGAAAGCTCCCATGTGCCAAGCGTTCTCCTAGGAGCTGGGGACACGGTGGAGAACAAAATGACAGAAATGCTGCTCTCGTGGGGCTTCTGCTCAGTGGCAGACAGAGACGGTGCGTCAGTAGGACGCGTGGGGTGTTGACATGGTCTGTGCTCAGGGAGGAAGTAAAGGAGGGGAGGGGGAGGGGACCTGAGGGGTGTGGGTGGCAATTTTAGATGGGGTGTCCAGGAAAGGAAAGGCCTCCCGAGAAGGGGACATTTGGATCAAGACCTGAAGGAGGCAGCCATTTGGATGTCTCTCAGGGATGAAGACCGCCAAGGCCGGGCACATCGGGGGTGTGGGAGGAAGAGGGGCGAGAGAACGTGGTCAGAGACGCCACGAGGGTCCAGGTGCCACGGGCCTGTGAGCCTCGTATGGCGCCGGAAGTTTAATTTCAGCGAGAGAGGAAGCTCTGTTGGAGGGTTTGGAGGAATGACACCATCTAATTACACTTGCACAAGTTCGCTTGGGCGGAAGAGACTGCGGCAGGCAGGCGACGGTAGAAAGCCGGGAGCCCAGTAGGGTGGCCGCTACAGCCACCCAGGGAGCAAGAGGCATTCACCAGCTCACTCCTGTAATCCTAGCACTCTGGGAGGCCGAGGAGGGCAGATTGCTTAAGGTCAGGAGTTCGAAACCAGCCTGAGCAAGATCGAGACCCTGTCTCTACTATAAATAGAAAGAAATTAATTGGCCAACTAATATATAAAGAAAAAAATTAGCCGGGCGTGGTGGCGCATGCCTGTAGTCCCAGCTACTTGGGAGGCTGAGACAGGAGGATCCTTGAGCCCCGGAGATTGAGGTTGCTGTGAGCTAGCCAGGGCACTCACTCTAGCCTGGGCAACAAAGTGAGACTCTGTCTCAAAAAAACAAAAAAAAACAGAGGCATTCGCCACGCACCCAGTGGTGATGCCACACGGAGAGATGCGATCCCGGGGTGGGCGTCAGGACCGACAGTGATAACAAAACATGGTCTCCCCAGCTGTCAGTTTCTTACTGACTGCTTCCATCCCTCACGTGGTGAAGTGACAAGGTTCTGTCTCAAAAAAAAAAATTTATCAGAGACTAGTTAATTTCAATCGGATTAACTGTAGCCTCTGGATTTTGATTTTGTGCTATGTAGACTGAATTTTAGATTTACCACGATGGTGTTTATCGAACACCTAATCTGTGTCAGGTTGCATATCAATACTGGGATTGCCACACGAGTCAACAATAATGGTATTCCAGTTACAAAATGTGGCGCAGTAACTCAGCCCTCATACAACAGAGGTGCTAGCATGCTCTGCAGTGAAACCACTGGGAATTATTCTGGCTTACAGCCGATTAACTTTTACCACTTCCTTAATACAAAGAGAATTTTATTACCAATTTCCCCAGTAGGTTAAATTAATATTTACAACAGTCATGGCAGCCAAGAAGCGTTGTGAAATTTCTAGATGTGCCTTGTCAATGTTAGATTTTTTTCCCTCCTCATCTCATGGTCTCTGGGCAGCATTAAATTAACCTAAATCTGGCCTGCGGGTGCCTCCTCACTGGAGTCCTTACTCACGAACGACCGCCTGGCTTAGTACGGACACTAACTGAAAACCTAACTCTTAGGAAGAGACCTCTGTAACAAATACCCGTCTCTACGGATTGCAGCAGCCTAGCTTTGGTCAATCCCAAGTGGCCAACGGATTCACAGGGGCAAACACTGAGCTGTGGCCCATTCTGGCTGCACCTCACTTCATTATCTATCCAGAAATACCGTCTGGCCACATTGCTGGCCACTGAATATCTGTGACCTCTTTTTTTTTTTTTTTTTAGTCTTGAAGTTTGGAGATTTTTCTACTTAAAACTATGTGAAATATTGACGTTATTTGCTATTTCCCTCAATTCCTGGGTCAACGCGCGTCCTCCTGCCTCAGTCTCCCAAGTAGCACCATCATGCCCAGCTAATTTTTTCTATATATTTTTAGTTGGCCAATTACTTTCTTTCTATTTTTGGGGGGGGTCTCGCTCTTGCTCAGGCTGGTTTCGAACTCCTGACCTTGAGCGATCTACCCGCCTCGGCCTCCCAGAGTGCTAGGATCTGTGACCTCTTTTGATCCTAGTGAAGTAGGTAGGGAAGGTGGGATCCCCAGCCAGCCCGCCCCCCATCACAGTAGTAAATGTCCAGGTAGTAAACCTAAATGTCCCGGTGCCGAGGCAGGCAGAGCCACAGCTGAGATGGACAGCCCAGGCCTCCGGACCTGACACCTTCTCTACACGGGAGCACACTGCTCTCTCTCGTGGCTGAAAGATCACCTGAGATCGGGGGATCACCAAGAGCAGGTCCCATAAACAGCACCGGCTGTTTGAATTGACTTACCTCCATAGCTACTGAAAAAAGAAAAGCCGGAAACTCACACAGCAAGGGCTCTGGCAGGGTCCCCCCCCCCCCAGCGAGCTCTGAGCAAGCTGCTCTCTGCTCACCAGACCACACCCAGAGCAGCAGGCCACCAACCGGCTGGCAGTGCCTAAAATAAAAGGGACAGCTGGGAGAGCCACAGTGAAAGCAATAATGCGGTGCTATGCACAACAGTTCCTGTGCCCCAAATCTAGCCTCTGGCGTCAATGACAATAATGACCACTCATAGAGGGTTTACCTTGTACACATGCCACAGTTTGACAGGATGACTTATTGAGAGATTAATCCGTGTTTCTATGTTGTTCTTCCTGTTGTTTTTTTCTCCTTTGCTAGCCCACATTTTGGGCTCTTCTGCCTCAGGTTGGGGATTGTGGGAGATCTTTCTTCAGGGCTAGAAGGGAGCCTTTGCAAGGGAAGAGGAAGCAGGTGCAGAGTGACAGGGGCTGGGGAAGACCCCCAAGGCCGGCAGCAGGATAGTCATGTGTGTGTGTGGGGGGCTCTGCAAGCACTAAGGACAAGCGCTGTCCCATCAGTCCATGCCAAGGGCAGGAAGCAGCCCAGAAGGCTTGGCTGACAGGGTGCCCTAGGAGGCCTGACCCAGGGGGCCAACAGTCTTTAGGGACCAGGCTGTCTGGGGCATCATGTGGGTCTTGGCAGTCACCCTGATGGACTGAAGGCCCAACGCTGGCTTTCTGGACACCACAGATATACCAGTGACTCATGTGTGATCCCAGCGACAGAGAGGAGACCCCAAACATGAGCGAGATTGAATTTCTCACCACACAGGCAAGTTGATTTAATAGGATTTACAAAAGTTTTGAACGTGGCATTTTTTTATACTCCATATCTTAGAGTAAAATTCATCACCATTAAATACGTATCACCTCATTAAAAACTCACAATAATCCTATAAAGTAGATATTATCATCATCCCCATTTCAGAGAGGATGTGGAGCCTCCCAGGGTTGAGTAACTTGATTACTCACAGCTATTAAGTAGCAGAGCAGAACTTCAATCCAGCACCCCTGCTTGGAAGGGTCACCTTCCACCCAGCATCCTTCTTTGCGTAATAATTGGTTATGGAGTTTTCCTTTGTGAATTTGGCTAAACCTTTACTTTGACATGATTTCTCCTGAATTCCTTTTCGAGCAATTGAATTCCTCGTGGAGCACCCACTGCTGAGCCCGGTTTGCTCACCACACCTGCACGACCCAGCTCCCTCTGGGCCGCACAGCTCCAAGGCCCCTGGCTGCCCCCAGCTCCCTGCCCACGACGCCGACACCCCCTCACCTGGGCCCCTCTGGTCCCCGGAGCTTCCTGACAGCTCCCTTCCTGTGGGAGAGCCTGTCCCCCCTGCGGGAGGGCACAGATGACATGTAAGGTGTCACTCATTACACACCCCACGCTGCCCGCTTGCTCTTGGCCATGCAGGGAAAGGAAATTCAGGCTCAGTGTTATTAAAAAACTTAAAAAAAAAAAGTAGAGAGAAAGAAACACCTATAAGAGAGTCCTTTGTAACAGTTCAGTACCTGAACAGAAAAACCTTTGATAAACTCCTGGGAGAGCTTAAATCTCTCTCCTCTCTCACTCACAGCAGGTCAACCCTGAAACAAGATGACCTATTCCACCAGCATCAATAAACCCCTAATCCTGGAGGAAGGAAGTGGGGTCTAGTTTCCACCGTTGCTATAAGAAAATCAGGGCTTTGTTTGTCGGGACGCTCTTCCAGCGGTCGTGACACCCGCGGTTTGCTTTGGCCGGCGAGCGCCTTCCGCAGACAAAGGGCCGTTTCACGGGCGCCGGCCCTCCGCGCCCGCGTGCTGTTCCGGCCCGCGGCCACTGGGTGGCGCCCGAGGAGCCGAGATCGCAGGGGAGGCCCGCGCTGCCACTTCGGCGGCGTGACCGCCTTGGACACATATGTCACAGAGGGGATGCGACGTGACTCCGAGGAAGCACAATGGGGCCGGCCCGCCTCCCACAGACATTTTCAATGTGGATAGTCCATGTTTTATCTTTTTATAGAAAAAAGGAATAAAAGCACATCTTTACAAAGGATGTTTTTTACAGGTTGAGCATCCTTAATCCGAAAACCCAAAATCCAAAATGCTCCAGAATCCAAAACTTTGTGAGCACCCACATAACGCCACAGGTGGAAAATGTCACACATAAGTACTTAACACAGACTTTGTTTCGCACACAAAATTATTCAAATTATTCAGGTTTTATCAAATTACCTTCAGGCTAATATGTGTAAGGTTTAAATAAAATATAAATAATTTCATATTTAGACTTGGATCCCAACCCCACCAATATCTCACCATGTATATGCAGATATCAGAATATGAAATCTGGGCTGGGTGTGGTGGCTCATGCCTGTAATCCTAGCACTCTGGGAGGCCGAGGCAGGAGGATGGCTGGAGCCCAGGAGTTTGAGGTTGCAGTGAGCTATGATGATGCCACTGAACTCTAGCTCAGGCGACAGAGTAAGACTCTGTCTCCAAAATAAATAAATAAATAAGAATATGAAATCTGGAATCTTAAACACTTCTGATCTGGCCCCAAGCATTTCAGAGAAGAAATAATCAGCCTGTGTTTGGAAAGTGCCAGTTTTAGTGCTCTGCAGAAGACCATCTAGTTAAAAGTGTGTAAATGCGGCTGTGAGCACAGGTAGCTTCACAGCATGGCGCCTGGCGGTGCCCTTTCCAGCTTGGGGCCCACAGGCAGCCTGTCCTGTGAAGAAGCAGCTAACACAGTGGCATTTGATTACGCACTTCCTGTCTTGTTACCTGAGACCCGTCTGCCCCCCTCCCCCTCGCTGCCCCCAGTGTCTTCACAGTGGCTTGGGGCATCCCTTGCATTTCGAGTCCCAGCCCTGTCCCACCCACCTCCCCAGGGACCAGGCTTAGTGGTCACCCACTCCCCTGGGGCTGCTCTCCTGAATAAACTTGCTCAGCAACCTCCGTCTTAAAAACCAAACTGTCCTAGAAAACAGAAACCCTTACCTGGCCTTCCACTTCCTCCTTTAGCTACTTCCTGCGTGGCCTTTCCCCTCCCTTCCCAACAAACTGGGGGTAGGTTTCTCTGTGAGCAAGGCTCTACTTCCTCCCCCCTATTCATGTAAATCTGCCCCAATTTAGTTTCCGTCCCTCCAGTTCCACACTACAAGTCACTACCCACACGCCCAGCTCCAGAAAATGCTCCATCCCTTTTCTTGCCTGGCCCGTTCTATGTGATACTGACCATCCTGACTTCCTTCTTGCACTCCTTCCTCCCTTGGTTTCTGCCACACTCACATCCCTCGGATCTCCTCCTAAGCCCCACCTGTTGTGGGTCCCGTCTGGGGACCCTTTTCCACAGAGCACGTGCTGGGTGTGGAAAGGAGCCCACAAAAGCCTGGCCAGCAGGGGGTAAGGTTTTGGGCCTGGAAGACAAGGGGCCTGGAGTTCTCCATCCCCTTTTATATTTGCTAAGTTATCGCGACCTTGGCCAAGCATCCCAATTTCCACCTGGGTTCCCAGGAGCAGAGGATACTTGTGGAGGCGGTGGGAGAGGAGGTCGGAGAGTGTGTGAAAGGTGTTCAGCCTGGGCGAGCACTTTGGACCCGATCTCGCAGGTTCCACGTCGTCATGTGTGTTCGGGGCTGACCAGTGGCCAGTTCCTGGGGAGAGCTGAGCGTGGTCATCGTCCCTCCCTGGACTCCTTCAGGGGATGCTGGAACCCTGGTGCCCCAGTTATCTACTGCTGCTTGGCAAACCATCCTCACGCTTAATGGCAGTAGCAGATCATCAGATCTGCAAACTCCATAGCTCATCTCCGCTCCACTCGCCATCAGCTGGGGCCACCTGGCAGCTGGCCTGGGGCTGGAGGATCCACCGACAAGACGGATGGCTCATGCGGCTGGAAAACTGCAGCTGGCTGTTGGCTGGGAGCTCAGGCAGGGGCTGAGGGGCCTTGCTCCTTGTCCCCAAGGTCTTCTTCATGATCTGCTTGGCCTTTCTCAGTCTAGTCCTTTTCAGGTTGGGGCTGAGTGGGTACAGGCACTGGATTGGGGCCAGAAGGTTATGGCCTTGGCTTCTGCCCTCCGTTGTTTCTCCACCCCAACTTGAGGACCTCTTCCCTTCCACCGTGCTCAAGCTGGCAGGGGAAAGAAAGGCTGTCGGGAATTAGATTCACTGCCCCTTCCAGAAGGCCGGACAGGAGGACAGACAGGCTAAGTGCCAGAGTTGCAAGGAGTCCCCCACACTTGCACTTGGGGACAAGAGTGTCGCCTGAGTGAAGGCTGCCTCTCTTGTCCTTATGGGTGTGTTACTCATACCGGAAGGATTTTAAGCTTCTTTTTCTAGTTCTTTCATTGTGTTTCAAAAGTAATAGAAATTCATAGTCATGAGGTCCAGGCATTTCCCTCTGAGGTAGTGACAAGGAAGTGAGACATCATGCCAACTAAGGTAGACATCTGCGTGGCAGGTCCTCAATTGGAGCCACTAATTTACCTTCCAAATGCTGCCAAGCAACTGTCGAGGGTAATGACTCTGTCCACTGCAGACCCAGACCAATGCTGAGCCATGACCTTGAGTGACGCTGTGCCTCCCAGAGCTCTTCCATACAGGGGAGGAAGATGGCAAGTCAGTGGAGTGACACCTTCCAATTAGAAAGATGACAAAGGACATAAATATACTAAGTACCAAGGCCAGCAGGGTGAAGGTAGCTCTGAGCCAACAACCATGGTGGCCTTTTCACACCAGCTAGGCACATTTTCCAGATAGAATCTTCTTCCTTTTGCAAGTATCAAATTAATTTCTCTCTCTCTCTCTCTCTCTCTCTCTCACACACACACACACACACACACACACAAACACACACCTCATGCCCCCATCAGACCAGCTCAGCACAGCCTCCACCCAGAAAGGATTTATAAAACCCAGTGAATAAGGTGAGCGTTTGTTTTGAGAAGTTTCCACTCAGAGGGACGAGAAAGTCCAGGATGTCACCAGAAGTCAGCTTGGGATCCTGGCTGTCTCTGCCAAAAACTGGTCACATGACCTTGTGAAAAGTCTACTGGGGCTGGGATTCGGCTTCCTCAGAGACAGCTCAGCTGGGGTGATTTGGGGAATTTTGTTGGGTTTTCAGCCTTGATGGATGGATAAGATTTAGATAAACCAAGAGGGGGGTGGGGGGAGGGGCTGTCCCTCCAGGAAGACTTGCAGGAGATGGAGGAGGACACTGTGGCAACCAGGCTGCCCTTGGCAAGGGGAGGGCTCCATCTTCGGGTTCCGACTCCCCTGGGTTCAGCTTTCAGCTCCATTTTTAAGACCTTTAGTAAGACCCTCTTTAAGGTCTCAGTGTCAGTGTCTAAAAAATGGGGGTTGAAATAGCCGTCTCCACAGTTGCTGAGAGAGTCACACGTGCTAACGCACGTGTGCAGCTGCTTGAGGAGTGGGAGCTCTGATAAGGCCACCGTCGATACTAGCGATGGGGTATTTGTGTGTCCCGAGGCCAGGCCGCTAGTCTGGCTGGAACTCAGGGCTATGTTGGGGGCAGAGGGAGATCAGCTTAAAAGGCAGTGGGGTGAGATTGAGGAATCACAACCTGAATATTTTGATTGGCACTAGAAGATTTTGGGTGTACCACTTTCCAGATGAATAACCTGAACCCCAAAGAATGGAAGCAACTTATCAAATGAACACTGTATTTGTAATATCATCTGAATATCTGGCCTTTTCAAGAATGCAAGATCTTTGAGGGCAGAGTCTGTAACTTGTGGATCTTTGCAAACCCCTGCAAAGCCAGCACATAATGCTGGTGCTCAGGCACTACTTTTTGAGTAGGGGGAGCATAAGCTCATTAAAGAAATGTGGTAACTATACCAATGGTTTAGTACTCTGAAGTTCACCCATTAATCAGATCAAAATCCATCTGTCCAACATGCTTTAGGTGTAGACATAAGTGAGCCAGGTGGCTGGATGAGATGGTTCCAGAAAGCACTCTGATATTCTCTCTCTTTCTGTCCTTGGCATACTCGTTTGAGAGAAACCAAAAGAAAAGGAAGGCCGGGAGTGGTGGCTCATGCCTGTAATCCTAGCACTCTGGGAGGCCAAGGCAGGCGGATTGCTTGAGGTCAGGAGTTCGAAACCAGCCTGAACGAGACTCTGTCTCTACTAAAAATAGAAAGAAATTAATTGACCAACTAAAAATATATATACAAAAAATTAGCCGGGCATGGTGGTGCATGCCTGTAGTCCCAGCTACTTGGGAGGCTGAGGCAGGAGGATTGCTTGAGCCCAGGAGATTGAGGTTGCTGTGAGCTAGGCTGACGCCACGGCACTCACTCTAGCCTAGGCAACAAAGTGAGACTCTGTCTCAAAAAAAAAAAGAGAGAGAGAGAGAGAGAGAAAAGGAAACTGGAAATAAATGGATAATACCCAGTGCCAGCAAAGTTACGGTTAAACAGGCAACTCCCAGGGTACTATGAATCTGCATGAACCTTTAGGAAAGCAATTTGGGAATTTGTATTTGAAGATCTCTGGCCTTTGAGCCAATTATTTCACCGGAGTGGATTGATCTTTAGACAATTCTGAATTGAATTACAGGTAGGGCCAA